AAAACAAACAAAAATTCCTAAGAATCCTGCTGCAGATCGAGAAATGACGACAGCTACGGATCGAACAAGTCTTCCAGCAACACCGGCTCCTATGGATCATCAGGCAACGATTCCTATGGATCAAAGAAAGACAACGATTCCTATGGTTCCTCCGGCCGTTCTGGAAACAACGACAGCTACGGATCGAACAAGTCTTCCAGCAACACCGGCTCCTATGGATCATCAGGCAACGATTCCTATGGGTCAAAGAAAGACAGCGATTCCTATGGTTCCTCCGGCCGTGGCAATGACAGCTATGGCTCTAAGTCCAGAGATGATGACAGCTACGGCTCATCTGGCCGTTCTGGCAACACCTATGGCTCTGGCTCTGGCAATGACAATGATTCTTATGGATCCAAGTCTCGTACTTCTGGAAACACCTACGGCTCTAATGACAACGACAACGACACCTACTCGTCATCCAAGAAGTCTGGCAACACCTACGGCTGGAGCAATGACGACTCCTACGGATCCAAGTCTCGCACCGATAACACCAGCTCTAGCTACTCCCGAACTGACAATGACGATGACAACGAGAATAGTTAGTCAAACTTACCTCTCCTGCTGGCCGAGTAGATACTAAACATGAAATTATTACAGAGTCCGCTACCTCCAAGGTCCTCGGCAAGGTTGGTGAAATGATTGGCAACAAGCTGTCTGGTAGCGGTCACGGAGATTCCAGCTCCAACTACTAAGCTTTTACAAGCGTATCTTGACGCGTGGCACGTTTCAATCTGCTTTCCAGTCACTATTGTGTCACCCGAGTTATTTCCTTTTCTGAAATGAACCAAATGCCACTATGATTATTGAATCACAGCAGTACTTATTGTATGGCGACTAGCTATGTATCTTCTCATTATGTATTTGACATGCCGTCAGTTTGAATATACTCGGCTTTCTTCCCCTCCCAGCAAAACGCGAAAACACTATTCACGTGATATTTTATCATGTGACTTACCGATAAGATAAGATTAGCTCTAAACCTTAATTTTATCTTGAAAGATAAAGCGATTAGATAAGCAATATCAAGTTGCAAGTTGAACTTGCAACACTTTCCTGCGAGAGAGACAACGATAGTGAAGCGACAGGGAGTAGAGTCCTATTGTAAGAAGCTGAGATGGCTACGCAACAGCCAACGTCCCGTGCTCTCCATGGTAAGCATCAGTACCTCAGTGTTAGCTGAAGTGATTGGTCTGACGGTGTCCTACAGCACGAATCAACGCCGATATAACACAGCTTCTCCAGAGATTTGAAAACATCATGGCTGCTGCAACGGTATGATAAGTCTATTGCTTGTCGATCTAGCGCTGGAAGTGGTAGAATTCTGAGTGGATCTTGCCTAGGTGGACAACCCCAGTCGCACATCCTCCGCCATTGAGTCGTACCAGCTTGACGTCGAATCGACAGCTCTCGTGAGTATATTGAATAGCAGTTTGACGTATCACTTGATCTTTTACCCAATACGATTGAATGAATTGCTCTGGCATTACTTCAGGACTAATCCGTCTCACTGTGACTTTAGATCCGCGCTGCCGAGGATATCTTGTCCCTTACGCGTACATTGAAAGAGACGTGGCTATTTGGGAAGCTAGAGACGCTTGGAGAAGATGAGAGAGATATTCAACGACGGGAACAGCTAGAGAAAGATGTAGAAGCTGTCAGAGATATGATCCAGCAGAGAACGCAAGCAGAATCGGAGAAGCAATGACATGTCAGTGCTTTAATAATACCTATTATCATTCTGGTTGGAAGGCGGTTTTCCGGTTTAACATAGGGGGGTTGATTAGGAGTTCAGTATGTACTATATAAGGATACCCAAATGTTCTTTATTTTCTTTGCTATAGCATCTCTTAGAATAATCCTCATTTCTACCATAGTACTCTGTAGCCCTGTTTCGTATTTGGGGAATCTCTGATGTAACCACTAAAAAACACCCCACTAGTCAGTTTAACTTAGTTACTTGAACAACGGTAACTAACTGTCGCGTTTCTACAAGCATAGACAGAGAATTAATTATACATACCCATAAAACCACTGCGAATACCACTGAAACTCCGCGCACTTCTTCGATATGACCACCAGCATCGACAGTCCAAGAATGCCAGCAAAACTCCCACCCCTCACTCTCGTCGTCGCGACTACACCCATAACAACTCCTACAAATCCCGGCATTCTTAAACTCGGAATTGGCAAGGGAGGCACATTGCCATGGCCCAGAATAAAGAAAGATATGAGCTTTTTTGCTCGCGTAACGACGCGCCCTCCAGCCACAGCCACGGCCTCTGGAACAGCTTCACCAGCTATCAACGCTGTGATCATGGGCCGAAAGACATATGACTCGATACCAGCGAAATTTCGACCACTATCCAAGAGACTTAACGTCATTATAACCCGAGACGAATCTGGGTCAGTCAAGGAGCGAGCAATTGCAGACTGGAACGCGTCGAGGAAACGGGAGTTGGAGAAGCAGGCAGACCAGGATACTGGCGAGGCTGCGGCTACGTCTACGTCTACTGAGGAACCAGAGGTCATAGTCTCGAGCAGTTTGGAGGATGCATTATCTACGTTACAGAAAAATTTCGTGATAAGCTCGTCATCGGATGTACAGGAGGGAAAGAGGCGGCTGGGCAACGTATATATCATGGGAGGGAGTGAGATATACGCTTCTAGTCTGCGCCTGACCACAGACGCTCTCGGAGAGAACAACCCGCTTCGAATAGTGATGACTGATATTCGAAAGCGTGTGGAAGGGAACCCACAGTGTGACGTTGAGGATCTGGTTGATGGGTTTGAGTGTGATACCTGTTTCCCCTTAGATGGGAAGGATTTGAATGAAGGATGGAACAAAGTTCCATCTGAGAAACTTACAGAGTGGGTTGGTGAAGCTGTATCTTCTGATTGGACTTGGGAAGGTGATGTTGCCATGAAGATCTCGGGATATGAAAAGTTATGATGATTTGTGGCCGTCCGGGTCAGTTCAAGTCACAGGTACTCCCTCTACTAATAAAACTATTCGGGAACAGTTAAAAGTGAAAGCATTCTTTGATAAATAGTCTCATCTATGTGTATATGCAACAGTAGTATAAATATGGTAGGGGTACATGGAAGCATGAAAGAGGGAAAAATAATGGCTAAATGGACAAATCGCAAAAACAACAAACACAACATCGACAGAAGAATAAAAACGCCTTAGAAATGCGATTCTAAGTCAAAATGGACAGTCTTGAAATAACGCAGAACTGCTAGGAAGTGAAATATTGGAGGATGAGTCAGTCCCCTGGAGCCGGTATCATACCGGGAAATGAGCAAAGGATATAAGAAATATAACAATCCAATGCAAAAGAGCAAATAATGCGCAAAGTCAATTAATCGACAGCAGCCACATCCAGAATGCTGCTCATACAGCGAGCAGTCTCTATTTTGTTTGAGAGATAGGCTTGGCCTTAATGTATCGCAGCCGAAGCCTTTTCAGTCTCCTTCATGAACTTGACGAAGGATTTTTTGTGAACCAAGCCTGCATACTGGCCATCCCGAAGGACGCACATGTACCGAAGGCCGAGCTTGACGAAACATTGATAAACAAGATTTATAGGGGAATGAATGTCCAGAGAAACAGGGGACTGCAATGGATGAACAGGTTAGCACGGAATATATAGCTAAATGACCACAGGGGGATACGTACCGGGTCAATAAATGGTGTGAAATCAGCGACATTCGTGTCATTTTCTCCCTCGCCTAGGTATGATGACTGCATAGACATCAAGCACATTGTATCCTGCTCTTCTGAGGGCAATTTATCAAGCGCATATTCTAGTTCCGGAGCAGGAATTAGGCCAACAAGGATGTTCTTGTTTAGTATTGGCAGTCCACCATCGAGCTCGCCGGCCATCAGAAGCTTGTCTAGCTTTTCGCGTAATTCCGTTGCGCTGACCAAGGGCGAGCTCGAGATATCGATGACCCTGTTCTTTCGAACACGAGGCACGATGTCTCCCAGCTCGATGTTGGCAATTGGATGTAGTTTGTTGTCGAGGAATGGGTAGGAATTCATGTCCGTTAACAAGTCATATATGCTTAGAGGCTCTACGGCGTTGGAAACCCATTTGGCGCAGAGAATGGCGAGAGAGAAAGGGAGGACATGGTCCAGACTGCCAGTGAGCTCGAACAGGATGACGACAAGGGTAAGGCTCAGCCTAGTGACGCCGCACATGGTTGAGCCGGCGGCAATGAGAGCGTACACACCCGGGTTAACACATGACTCTGCGAGCTTGGTACTAGGGCATTGTCCAAATAGGAAGAAATTCGGGTAATGGACGACGAAGTATTGTGCGACATGGCCAACAATCCTGCCCATAAGACCGCCGACAACCATGGAGGGAACATAGATACCAGCTGGGACCTTGATGCCAAACGTGATGGTGGTAAGGAAAGATTTGATGATGAACGCAACCAGGAGGTACTTGATGACATCCGGAATGTCTTCTCTTTTAGGACAGAGGCCAGTTCCCGTCTCCGTTTGGCCTTCGTAATCACACGGACTTGCGAGTTCGAAGAGTAGCTCAGACACTGCAAGTTTGGTATAACGATTCCAGAAACTCATGAGGCCTGTAATCAAGGCGACAAGGACAACTTCGAGCATTGGCCACTTCTTGATAACGGGAATACGGCGGAATGTCTGAGCCCAGAGCTTTGACGCCTTGATAAAGAGTGCACCAAAGGCACCACCGAGGACTCCGAGGAGCATGAAAATAGCGAGCTCGAATATTTCCCAGTCGGACACATAGCGGACTTGGAACAGGACAATTTTACCTGTCTGGTAGGGGTTAAGAAATTTCAAAGAAAGGGCAGCGGCCTAGTCACCAAATTAGCATACAGTTCTAAACATAGTGCAGCAAGGGAGCCTTACAATGCAGCAAAAAAATGTCCTGAAGAGAGTTTTTGGCGGAAAATAGTAGCTAGCATAGACGTGTTAGCCCCAGATGGTCAGTCAATATTAGCTTGGATGCAGAGAACATACCTGACTTCCTCCAGACTGAAGAGAACACCTCCAATGGGAGCCCCGAAGGCAACAGCAACACCACTGGCAGCACTGGCGCTTAGCACCTCTCTCCTTTTGCCATCATTGTAGTGGTATTTGGCGAAGAGTCGGCAACAGATGTTACCGATGCATGTAGCTATGTGGACATAAGGCCCCTCCTTTCCAACACTCAAACCGGAGGCAACACTTAGAACCAAGGCTAACGTCTTGACGACAAGAGTCTGAACTCCAAGGTACCCGTGAAGGATGAAGCCGGAGAGGATGACTTTGACCTCGGCAACACCACTGCCAGCTGCAGAGTAGTACACCATGGGCGGCGGTACGACATCCTGAACCGATCGGACATCAAGGTTAGTTTTGGTGGGACGAGAGGTCTCGTCCGGCGAGGCACTGCCTACCGCACCAAAATCTTCATCCAAGGTGGTGAGAGAAATGGAAGAGGGGACGACGGTCTTGGTGAGGAGCGTAAGGGTACAAGAAGCAGCTGCTAGCAGGACAGCCCAGAAGACGAAGGCACCAAAGTCGATCCACTTGCGGTCGATGGTAGACGATTCAAGTATTTCGGACCATGAACGCCATGCGAGACAGATCTCCTCGTCTGATGAACAGCAATGCTTTTTGCTCATGAACCAGTTGTTGCTGCAGAACCCTTCCTTCAAGTCGTATATGACGATCTCGGTAACATCAACAAAGTATGCGACACACGCCGTAAGAAGGCCGATTATGGCGACCAGAACCCACCCCTGAGCTCCATCAACCCAGGCAAGCAGCTTTCCACGGATATCACGTCGACTCCGTAGCTCTCTCAGGCGTATGCCATCAGCAATGGTGTCGTGAACCCAGTCCGTAGAGGTGAACTGGTCGTACCAGACTCTATCGTCGGAGTAAGGAGCAGCGTTCAACGGCTTCGTTGGTTCGTCGTCTGCCTCTGCAGGTTCAAATTCTGCAGCTCTGTTCGAAGGAGTAAACCTCACAACCTGCGAATTTGCACGGCTGTGACTCTTGGACATACGCAAGCTGCCGGCAGTACTGTTGTGTCTGAAGAAGGCATCCGGACGAGGGGAGGCAGGGTTGGTGCTGTAACTTCGCTGGTACTGGCTGCCAGCGTCCAGCAAGCTCGTCCTTTCGTCCATATCTCCTCCTGCTGCCGCTATAGCCGTAGGCCTTCGTTGGATGCTGAATCGGATCTCGGGGAGACGAGGGGTGCTATCGTGCCGGGAGACCGTCGGCGACGGGGGAGATGTTACTGGCACCGTTCTCGAGCCAGGGTTATCGCCGTCACCACCACCAGCGCTGCCGCCTTCGTCCGTCATCGAGCGTGATGGCACAGCGCGAACCATAACTCAGCTAACTTGGGGCTCTCCCAAGAGGGTGTTAGAAAGAAAAAGAAAAAGAAAAACCGTATACACGTGCGTACGACTAGGGAGCGAGGGTCCTATAGGGGAGAAATATGGGAGGAATCCGTCAGCAAGAGCTCAATATATTATTTGAGGCCCAGAGGAAGTTCATGGGACCAGGCGGCTCAGTCAGATGAGTATCCATCAGACGATCAACGAGCAGAGACACCTTGAAAATACGGCCTGAAACCCCCCCCTTTTCCGACCATATTTTGGGATATGACATGACCGATGGTCTGCAGCCACCCAATGATGCTCGGAGTACGGGGTAGTCTATGCAAAGCTTCGATATATTGGTGTTTATGCTTCGTAGTGGTACTTGGTACTTACAGATCTCAATCCATGAAGCAACTTTCCAGCCACCAGGAGACAGCGAGTGACGACAGCGAGCGCAAAAAAGGGATCAGCCGGGGTGCATGCAAGTCGACAGCAGCATCATCTGACCGGCAGCAAACCCCTTTGGCCCAACAGCGGCAAGACAGTTAAACGAGATGGAGCAAAATAAGGCGAACAAGAAGATCCAAAGATGTTTCGATGCCGCGGGAAGATCCCGGTCACGTGGGGGGGACTTCTTTTCTTTTTTGACGTCTCGCTCCCTTCGAAGAGACGGACAGCAAAGGACGGCATAAGGCATAACACAGGCAGCCAGAGAAGAGTCTACGGAAATACTCTACGGACGGGATGGGAGGGAGAGCGTGCGCGCGGCGTGAAAGTACACGGGAGAGTGTCCGGGGCGCAGGTTGGACCGCGGACCACGGGCTGAGACGAAGCCGGGCGGGCAGGGCTCTTCTTAGTGCAGCAGCTAGCTAGTTAAGCCTTGGGACCGGCGAGCGTTGAGAAGCCAACCGGCTGATTTTCGAGGCAGGTCGACGGATGGGACATATATACCTCGCTCGATTTCCACCGATTTCCACCGTGTATACGGAGTAGAGCTGCGTTCAGGACGGTAGGGGGATGCTCTGTCTGGCGAACACTCGACTGAGGCGATATCAAGCATATCCCCTCTGGATAAGAGACAATGTTTAGGACGCTAACTATAAGATACTACAGGACGGACACGGTACTTCGTCCCAACGAGCAAGGATGCTGCTTGATCTCGTGCAACCAGCAAGGGCAAAAAAAGTCTGAGTTGTCTTTGGCGTGTCCTTTGAAGTTATGTACCAGAGGAGAATGTCGACTCGATCAGACGCATGGGATGATATGCAGCACGCCAGACAGGAAAGTCTGGGGAAAGATACAAACCTGGACAGTCCCAGGGTATCGCAATCAATATACCCCGCTGTTGGAACAGGGAGCCGTGTCGATCATTATGCAGGTGGCCCTGCTGATATTCTCGGATCTGATATCTTGCTGGCAGGGCCATGCTAACAAGCATTTCGGGGGGTGACTCGCCTTTTCGATAGTTTACCATGCTTCCCATCATATGGCTTGACGGGCACGGGCTGGTCTAGAACTAGACGCCGCCAACACGGGTAGCACTGTTAATCTACCTTATCTCCCTCGAAACGGGGTTCCTCGGCAACGTCTAACGGGCCTGCTCATCGGCTTGACAATGGATGGAGAGCTATAGTTAATTTAGCTGTTGGAAGTTGTGGTCTTTCCACCTTGCTTCGATACGACGTTGCGTTGAGCCGCTGCACCCGAACAAAGACATTCATGGTCACACTCTTGTTTCTTGCTCGCCGAGGCATGGAAGTGTGCTCCGGGGAGGTGGTAGAACGGGCGTCGAGGGACTGCACCTCCTTCGGTTGGGTGTCAAGGAGGGGACGCATCCAACTGTGCTCTGTGTTAAGTCTACTGCTCTCCTGAGGGGGCAAAGGGTGTGACGCGTTACACGGCAGTGTAGTCTAGCCCTGGGTAGTTTTCTATATACCACCTCATGGCAAGGAAGGGGAACTTGGTCTTCGTCCTCCCATAGAACGGGGTATATATTGCGCATTATCCTGATATCTCACTACTTGGATCTCCTGGATGGCCCCCCACAGAAATGCATATATCAAGTCTATAATAACTGAAGATAACTCCTACCTTTGAACATAGTTATCCCCTTCTTATTCTACCTGACCATCCTCTACGTACTCGTCAAAAATGCTGTATAGTTCTAGTGTCCAGGTAGGCGTGCTCTCTTCTTTGTACCACCTCGCCACAACATTAGAGTACAGATACAATCCCCTGATCTATCAAGCTACAAGCTGTCCCTGGCGGACTTTATTTAACCCGCCAACCTAGTCTGCCAGAGCAAAAGTCTCCTTCGTCCCTTTTTCATCTTTTATCTTGTCCATGCCTTGAATGTTCAAACTTGGCCCAAAAATATCCACGGGTTGCAGTCGAGTGATGCGATGCCAGTCAGCCCCTTTTTCCCGTCTCCTGGCTCACCAAACATATAAGCGACAATACCCCTTGCCACTTGCTCTCTGTCATGCTTGGATCCTGTCCAGTCTCTTTGCGCTGCCCTGTTTTGTGTGTTGATGAATTAAAACTGCCCTAAATATACATACATCCATATACCAGAGCATCTAAGTCTATAACTGCTGATAGTCGACTTCGGCGGGCCTTTTACGTCTCCTCTTGATACTGGGCCTTGTCATGACTTCCGAAATGTCCCTCGCCCAGGGCTACGTCCAGGCGAAGTCGTATATTCCCTACGACCAGATTCTCCTCTTCGGAGACTCGATCACCCAGTTCTCAGCATACCAGGGCCGTGGTTTTGCCTTTTCACCGCAGATGCAAGATGGTCAGTCTCGTTGTCTTCGTATTTGCTATTCACAATGACTCTGACGGCGAACAGACTATGTGCGAAAGCTAGACGTCCTTAACCGTGGTTTTAGGTACGAAAGGAGGATCTACTACAGCTTCTACTCGTTCATCTAAGTAGTTAGCTTACGTGCTTTGGTGTACACAGCGGATATACGTCCTCTCAGGGGCTGAATGTGCTGCCCCAGTTCTTCCCGCCGCCACATGTAGCCAAAGTCCGCATGATGGTAGATATGGCCCTCTCGATTCTATCTCTGCTGTGTAGACTGGGCTAAAAGCTGGATAGACCGTGTTTTTCGGCGCAAACGATGCTGTCCTGCCGCCGGGAGACCAGTACGTTCCCCTGGAGAAATACGTACAAAACCTCAAGGCCATCATCCAGCACCCCGTAGTCCGATATGGAGACACCAAGATTGTCCTTCTCACTCCGCCACCTGTGAACGAGTATCAACTCACGGCGTTTGACCTGTCCAAGGGAGTCACCACCTTGTTTCGCTCGGCCAACAACACGAAGCTGTACGCCGATGCCTGTCGTGAAGTCGGCAAGTCTCTCCACGTAGCTATTGCAGATATCTGGTCCGCATTCATGAGAGAGGCCGGCTGGGTCCAGGGCCAGCCAATTGCTGGATCAAAGGAGATCCCAGAGAACCCCAAGCTTGCCTCCTTGCTAGTTGACGGTCAGTCCAGCCGATTCTCTAAATCTCTTGGTAGATGCCTCCTCCTATGCTAATAATTTCAACCTCCTCTAGGCCTCCATTTCTCCGGAGACGGATACAAAGTCATGTACGACGAGGTCCTCAGAGCCATCCGAGAGACCTACCCTGAAGAAGCTCCTGAGAGGCAGCCTGTCCATTTCCCGCCGTATCAGTTTGCCGAAGACGCATAGTTAGCTGGGTTCGGCTTCTCGTATAACTAACTCATTCCATAACTAAGTAGTTAACTAACCATTCTGCACATAGTTAACAAACACATAAGCAACATGCCTCTTTCTTTGAAGTTTGGGAGTCTGCAGCCCTCCGCAAGCAAGGTCCTTGTCCTGAAACATTTAATCAGATGCCGAGCTTGTTTGTGTCGGTTTCAAATAAATATAATAATAAATGTAAATATGCCTAGCAATGCAGCGGTTTTGCCGGTCGTATCTGTCCCCGACCAGCAGTTAAGCCAGCCAAAGACTCACATAAATCCCGCCGAAAAGGGCCTGGACAGGACGTGAAGGAGTGAAAAACAGTGAATGTCTTCGTCTTAATGTCGAGCAGCCTGTTTATACTGTAGTTATCTGCAGCGGCGTTCACATGAATAGTTCGTTATCCGGCTAGCCAGCAGTTAGTTAAAAGTTGGCTTTAATCAAGTCTTCCTTCACCAACTTCATACTCTGCTTCCACCAAACAACCGCCACTAAACAACTCGACCAGCGACGCTTCTACAGACGAAAAAGATCCTCGTTGAACAAGGACTAGAGACACAGCCTGACCTTGCACCGCCTCTCAGTCACACTCTCCCTGTTACACTAAGCTCTGGTCATCAGCGAAATATTTAGCCGGCCAAAAGGACCCCTTGAGAGCGCCTTCAACAACCAACCGCTTCCAACGCCCCCCGAACAACCAGATCAGCTCTCCTCCCGTTCGACCTCTGCGCCCAGCTGCCGGTATAACGAACATCTCATAACTGTCTACCTCTATCTGCCGTCTAGTCGCCTCATCATCGACTTTCGCCGTTTATCTGCCACTGTCGCCACAGCGCTGTCTCTTCCCCGAGGGGCTTCATTCGGCCAGCATCAGCCTGTGTGATCGAACGCTTAGCGCGACAAAAAAAAACCACTCTACAAAGGGCCCAAAGGACTCAAAAGGACTGGTAGACGTCTCCAGCTGTGACTGTTCGCTACTTTGGTGCCATATTCTGCGGCTCCTTGAACACTTCCGGCGGCCGCTGACCCTTCCGCTTCGCACGAACACGAACCAACCTTTGCAGACAAGGCAACCGGCGTGTGGCTACACGACTTGGAGAAGACGCATATTGGCCCCGGTGGGCTGTCCCGCCATCAGGCTGAAATCCCAAGCGAATACTCTGTCCTCGGCTGCGACATCGCCGGCATCTTGAGGCCTGGGAAACATCAACTTCGGACTCGTCTGGTGAGCTAGAGAGGGGGTCTAAAGGCTTCATTGTCTTTAGAACGGTATACTGAGGTCTATGGTCCGCTGCCAGTACTGGACTCGTGCAGCGTAGTTGGTATACCCGCTGCTCCCAGGGAAGAGAGAAATCCGTGTCATCCGCCTTGTTACATTGCGCGTCATACGCGCATCCCGGATGGTTGCTGTAGGCTGGCCAGCCTATATTCATTCCTCGACCTTTGACGCCACACTGCCTGTGACAGAAACTTTGGGTCCGAACGTGACGGCGGTGAGAGACAGAGGTGGTGTCTTTGGCAGGAAATGGATGCTCAATATCCCTTTGCTACAAGAGAAGATATCTGGCGTGTCCACGAAGAAGTGAAGGACCTGTGTGCCACGCAGGCAGAGCACTCTGAACGGCTGGCCAAGCTTGAACGAAGAAAGGAAGATGATGCTAAGATGAAAAGTCTCTGGAGTCCGTTTTCACCCATTCCTTCAAGCACTGGCCACGGGAGCCATGGTAAGTTTCTGCTCTCATACACCGTCTGCCTCAAAAGCCAATTTGAATATTGCTGACATACTGGGTTGCGCATAGATGCCGTCTTCAATGCTACGGCCGAACCTTTCAAAGGGTTTGACCAGGCTCACCATGGGCTAGGAACTCATATCCATATGGACCACGAGGATGAACCTAGGCGTGGTGCTTCCAGGGCGAATAGCGTGCGTTTCGACGAGAGCGCAATCCATGCATATAACAGCCATGGAAACCGTTCTGCGGCTGAGCTTGCACCGGCCCGTACTGGGAGTGGAATGGGAGCCCACCCACTCACAGAGCGGTCCTACTCCCATCGATCAGACGGGAGACAGAGCTCGTCTGGTCATTCACACCACTCCGCCCGCACATATAGTTTGGAGACGTCTAGGATAGAAAGTTCTTCCACCACGACTCCTGCTAGCCAACATCCTCCTCTCGGACCTCCTCCTGGCCTCTTTATCCTTGGTCCTGTCCCTTGCATCATTAGATGCTGGCTCACAACCAGCTTTTCTAACGATTCCTTGCTTTATGCTGCGATTTGCACCGGTGCTTACTCGTCTGCAGTGGCTTCTCCGTTGATACAAAAGCTCGGTCTCGAGGGCGATATCATAGAGGAAGATGGTGCACGCACCATCAAACTACCTGTGTATTTCCCAGAGGCCAGTGTTTGCCAATCTTCTTTGCGCAGTTCTAGCCCGGAACCACATCTTCCGGCTTTGACTGTTCGATTCTTTGTCCGTGACATAGACCAGGAAGACCAAAAAGCTATCTCGATTTTCATAGGGAGTGATGTTCTTCGGACTCACAACGCTGATATCCTCTTTTCCCAAGATAAGATGTTCGTTGTTGATGATGCTAGAAATAGAATTTCTATTCCGCTGGTTCGCCCCGAGGACCACGAGTCGTTCCGGAGCCTGACCACCATGCCCAGGAAATCATTGTCCCAGAATCCCCAGCAAAAGCCTATAGAGAAGGACCACAGCACACCGGACATCGACGACACCCATCCAGAACAATTTGCTGGCGTTATCGGCCGTCTCGGACCCAGCCACGACCAGCCGCAGCCATCGAAATCTGCACTATCCCTCAAAACATCATCTGAGGCATTGGCAAACCTTGATAAGGACCGTTCGTCTCAGGCTATCAGTGACTCAGAGGATAACAGCCTTGACATGGTTAATCCCAAGTCTGCCACCAGCGAGAAGTCGCATGGTAGGCCGAGCACCAAGAGTGACGAAGGAAGCGGACACTGGGGCTCGTGGAGACGTGATGCAGCTCCCACCACATCATCTTCCACCAAGCCAGACCAACCAGCGTCTTACGTTGCTGTCTCCCAGCGCCCAGCCACCAGACGTAACATGAAAGTGTTAAAGCCGACCAAGACGTTGACCCGGTCCAACACAGCCAACGCCCCCACAGGCATGGCTCAGCTTTCCATCGCCGACCGCACGTCCAGCGACGCCCCTTCCGCCAGCAGACAAAAAAGATCAGCCAGCGGCGAGAACGGAGATATTTCGAGCCACGGAGCGAGTCATTCCAGCACCCCATGGCCTGGGAAGTCCAGACCAAGCAACAATCCAATCGGCGGAGCATCTGCCTTTGGATGGCTGAATACGCAACAGAAGCAGAACACCACAACACACGCTGACTGAGCTTTGAAGACCTTAGTATGGATATGAACTTCATCGATAATGGGAAATGCCGCGAAGGGAGAGCCGGTTTTGCTTGGTTGTCTTGTGTGTGTAGGAGGCTTTTCTACGCTTATTTTTATAGTGCTGCACTTCAAGTCTAACAGATGCAGATAGTAGCAATGACATGTCTTTGTGAAAACGAGCTGCTTGCTCTATTAAAACTCCGCTTTTGCTTTTTATTATGCCGTAGGTTCGTAATATCCCCCTTATTCACCCTGACCTGGAGAATCTTTAATACACCTAATAGGTTTGATCTTTCTAGCACTTGATACCCCTGATACCCGGCAACGCAGTGTGTTAATCCACGCCTGACTGAATTCTGCTTACAGGCATCTGTTGCTTGTGCCCGCACCATTCTCTGCACCTCATGACGCTCCTTATTCCCATACTTAGAATTGAGAGACAATATAGGATAATAGGGACGTCACCAAATTCACTGACACTGTATCCTCCTTAGTGAGGTTTATAGTAACCGCGTGGTTATTAGAGCAAGAACTTTAGCTTATTTCCTCGATGACCCCCAATTTTAGTCAAGTACCGTTATGGCAGACCATTCTCTCCTATCATACAAGGGCGGAATAATTGAAGTTGGTGTGATAGAATTGAGTTTAGTCATGGCTACGGATCCAATTGGTTTAATATTCATTAAATCGATGTACTGGATTTGCCTATTAACGATTTCTAACAGATACAAAGGCGCATCTAATTAGATGAGCTTCTGTTTCTTGATGGTTTAACCTTTACGCCTGGGCAGCGCACTTGATGGCCATGTACTTCTCGTCACCTGGCATGAAGGTACGGCATCCCTGCTCCAGAGTTCGGTGGTCTGGAGTGTCAGAGCAGTCGGTGGTCCTACAAGACGCAAGACGTTAGAACACGCCTAATCCTCGCCCTTAGCGGATCAGGACAGTCACTTACACATGAAGGTCACAGTCAGTGTCCTTGAGGAAGTTGATGGATCTAGTGGCTATTAGCGGGAAGTTCTGGTTGCTTGATTAAACACTAACGGAGACCAGAACGTACAGAGCGCCGCTAGCGGTGGTACATTCGCCCTCAATGAGATGCAAAGTTGATGAAGCAGTGCAGCTGGCATCACGGTGACGGGTGCCCTGTTCTAAATTAGAGACTTTCGCCCAACGTTCATAAGTCAACGTTGATAATGCTCCCCTAACTTACGAGATCGTCACCTGGTGCAGCGAGCACAAATGGCACCAAAAGGAGGAGGGTGGTGAAGAACTGCATATTGATTTTTCAGAAGGACTTCTATAATGATTATATAAAGGTAAATGGTGATTGACAGTAAATGATCACTTGCTGTTTGGTGGATTGTGAATGAATCCTTTTCGCTCGAGGGAAGAAACTCCAGCTATATATACCCCGTCGCCGAGCTCAAATCCGGAGCAAATTGTATCTCATGAGATTGCAACTGGAACTATCCGGCCATGATTATGCAAGGAATAAGCGTGTGTCGTGGGAAGGGGATGATTCAGGGATAGCAAAGTAAAAATGGAGAGACTATCCAGCGTACTGCTGAAGCGCATGGGTGCGAATACCCCTAAACAGATGCATCCCGTTCAGCTGCCAGGGTAAATGACGCATGCACGAGAGTGAAGGGTGCCTCAATAGCCGTCTTCTCCCCAGCAAAGGGAGTGGCTGCATTCTCCAACTCCTTGATGGGGATTCTTTCAAGTTCAGAGTCTGGATAAGTTAACTAACGAACTAACTAGCCAACGGGACGGCCCGAGAAAGTTGTTGCCACAATGGGTCACAGCCGAGCTTATTTGGCTAGCCCAACGTCGCGATACTTAATGGTGGCCTGGGTATTTGGGCCTATGATACAGACGGGGAACTCAGCGGTTACCAGGCGATAAAGTGTCATCTTAGCTCGGAAACTAATTCGAGTTGACATGAATCACGAAGCCTGTCGGCGAGTGGCCAGAATAGCACCCCTGGTTATAGATCTACATCATATTATGCAGTATTGTCCATAGCAGTTGTGCTAAGGAGCTGACCAGCAGGGAATATCGACTTTGGGGCCGGAGCTGCATATACTCGGGGTAGATTAACTAGGTATGCAAGCAGCTGTCTGTTGGCTGATGGGGAAATATCCGTATCCACTCAGCCGTGGCATATTGACTATCTCCCGTTTTCATTAGCCATAACGAGTTAAAGGAAGAGAGTTCCTGGCATGTTAAACACCATGACCTCTACATCGAATGCATAAATATATGCAGCTGGGAGAATCGCTGGCTCGGTTGATGTACAACGTGGCAGCCCAATTGGCCCCTGACTCCAGCCTTTTTCCAGTTCTTTGGTCCACACCATGGTTTAACCCGGGAAAACTCCTTGCAAAGATGAGGGCCCCAAGCCCCCCGGTCCATTCGGATTTACCCTCTGCGTCCGTGCCGCTGATACTCTGCCTCTACATGCGTGTATAACAAGGTATTGAACTTCCCCGCCCGGCCTAGAGCTGGTGGTGTCTCAGCTCACAGCTGTACTCGGGGTCATCGGGCTGGGGAGCAGAAACTGAATCAAAAAATAATAACTGCAGACGGGGATGTGGTAGCAGCATATCGGGCTAGTGAAAAAATGCTCAAAAGCTCCAAACTCCCGTGCTGTTCGGAAGTCTAGATCCAAAGTGAGTGGGAGTTGCTGCCTGTCTGTCTACCCCTGTGTATAGATTGCTATATCAGACGTATAGCACACTGCCCTGCTCCCTAGAAGGGATCTAAGTCCCTGTATAGCCTCCCATTGTCAGAGAGCTGCCGTGAACGCATACCCGAGTATCCTATAGTAGCCGTGAATGTCCAGGAAACGGGATAAAAAAGGTATATTGAGCGGAATAATCCAATATTCCATGAGGTCAGGCCTGGTGATGTCAGTTATTTGTATAGCGAGAATGCCAGCATGTGTTAGCTATGTGCTTCTCGACGTGAGTATGCTCTTACTAGGGAGAGAATAAGTCAGACATATGTACTGTGATATCCCTTCCATAGCTATCAGTCGGGGGGACGATTTCGCGGGAATTTGTGTCTATTACTCCTAGGGTTGAACTTATGCGCTGCCCTTAACTAGGCGCTTGACTGAAGCGTTGAATGATCACGTATGTAGGTATATAGTTAACATTCTTCTCGAGCGTCTGATTAGTTCGATCCTTCGCTAAATCGCTTCTAGTTAGTGATTCACCAAGGAATTAAATATGATAAAAAAAAAGAAAAGAAAAAAAATGCCAGGCCACATTCTTAGCAGGCATACTCCGTAGAGTCAATATTTTCTATATTTTTGACACTTACTAACTAGCAGGTCAGGAAATATTCCAATGCCATTGTTGGTGATGAAGCGACTTTTCGTATCAAACTTGGAGCCTGCGAGTTGCAGGAGTAAAAGCGGCAAATAACTGAAATATCATTGGCTACCTTCAACTTAGACTGTCCAATGGAACAAAGCAAAAGTTCTTGGCTCGAAGTTAGAAGTTTTTTAATTGGTTAACTCTGTACTTATCCAGCTGACTGGAGTAAATTAATGCTGACTAATATAACTGTTCTCTGACGTCGCTTCTTCGACTTCGCATTTTCCTTCTCGCAATCTTCGCCCTTTGGATGCTTTGCAGCGCTGATGGATGGCTTTTACAAGGAGAGGTACGGAGTACCGAAACTATGTTGATAAGATATGGGCTTTTGATGATACCTTTAGTTAAGGCCTCTTTGCTGTAATCTGCAAGCCACGCTGTGGGATCATGATTCCCAACAGAAACCAAATGATAGTGGTGGTAAAATGAATCTGCCGATTATTTACTTGTTTGTTGTGCGATCACTTTGTGCTTTGTGATAATCCGCTTAACTGATGAAGAGCTGATGATGTGTCCATAGGCACGGGGTACGGAGTATAATACGGAGTACTAGCAGGAGAAATAGGAAGGGATCCAAAAATTGGGGAATCCTTTGTGTATACTTTGCTGTGGCTGGCTGAGCTAGTTACTTGATGTCGGCCGGCTTGGAGATTTTATGGTGGCCTCTCTTTCCGCCTAACCACGCGGCAGCAGCTTTTGGTGGAAAGTCTTCACACTTCTTGTTGTGATATGACTGTAGGTACAACGGATGGGCAGCTATCTCATTCCACTCATTTTATTACGGACCAGGGGGTACAGAGTGTTGTCGGAAGATTTTGGCCTCATTATTTTAATTTTGACGAGATATCTGCGCTCCAAGCGACCATGTACTCGATATGCTAGGAATGCCTTGCTTTGGGTGGCCCGAGCATTTGGGGATCGGCGGATTTATCACCAAAGGGGAATTAATGTACGCAGGAACTAATAATCACGGTTTGCTTTGAGTCAACTTTGAACCATTTTGAACCACGTTACAGATCGTAAGTCGTTGGTCCCGGAGAAGTGAGTTCAGTACTCAATACCCAGCAGCCCAATTGGGCGTGATATACGGAGTAACAACCGATCTATCTCTACGGAGTACTCCATACCCTGATATTACAGCCCGCCATCTGCTGTTTTAGCTTCTCCGAACGCAGCTTGTGAGGATTTGCTGTGGCGTCAAGACCAGCAAACTTGTGCTTCTAGTTGACTTTATGGTTACCTCTTTTTGTCACCCACTTTTTAGAGTTCCCTAAGAAGCAGAGGGTAGCTAAGCTGATCATGGAATTTACTCTACTGAGCGCTGCGTACGGAGTACTCCGTACGGATTCGTGTGATGTTGTATAATCAGAACTAGTCTATCAATATCCTAATACCCCAGTAGGATCATAGACTAGCTCTTTCAACTGCAAACTGCTTACTCCGTATGAAGATACCATACAAATCGGCATAGATATCACCAGAGACTTGAATGCAGCACAATGCAGAACAGGCTTGGTCCGGATTCAAATACACGGGTCTGACAGGACCCATGTAGCCCAAATATTCCGTACCGAAAAAAGCCCAATGTGGAAAAATACCACTGATGGCGTGTCGATCGTCTCTGCATGGCCAATCGAGGCGACAACGCAAGGTAAGCAACTGAAGCCTCAATAACAGCCGGGAATAAAAATATATATATAGTCTGATAGCAACCCGCTGCTCTCCAACGATGCCCTCGTCATCCATTGCCTTCACTTCGGATTTTCATAGCCCTTAAATATCCAACAATTACCTCAAATTGCATTCCTCCCCCAGCTACGCAGTCTTAACTTTCAATATGGTTTCCCTGAAGCTTGCTGCCATTTTGCTCATTCCAAGTGCAATTGCTGGGGTCATCAAAAGGCAGGATGATGCAGAGGTATGCCTTAACAATGCTACTCACTTGCACAGTTACACGCAAGTTACTGAGGCTAAACTGGCTATATTGTATTAGGTCTTAGCATTTACTGGCCCGCAATGTGACGGTACCCCGGACCACCCCGTCTCCCTAGACACCTGTGAAGAGCGTTTCATTGAAGACAGGTAAGTAACCTCCTAGCCATCAGCTTACCCAAAACAAAGTATTGGCGAAATAGTTGGCCGCTAACATTCTATTTCATCTCTCCGCGTAGAGAAATCAAGTCTATCGATATTGCTGACGGAATTATTTGCACTGTTTACGGGTACGTGTAATTTTTCCCATCACACACCTGACTGAATCCTTTCGGCACTCTTAATTCGTTCGCGATTACTGGCGCTGACCAAGGTTGATTACTAGGGTGTCTGGATGTAATGAACCACAGACCAGAATACTTGGACCTAGGTGCCTTCGCTTTGTCGATTCCACCAACTCATACCAATGCGTGCCATCTTAGAAAGATTAGAGGTTATCCATCAATAGGCTCCAAATCAAATGGGGGACTGTACTTTTCTACGTTTATAGCGAATGGAGCTCGTGGATGCAGGCTTTTTCCCTAGTACAATTACAGCATGATGCCATTGCCTGGTGTACTAATGTTAATGAAATTACACATATGATATTTGCCTCCGAGAATTCCTCTCTTGCTCTACTGAGATTCGATATGTATGGATGTATGAGCGGCTGTTCGCCACAGCTACCAACCCGGGCCGTTTGATAATGAACTGAACCGGCCTAATGCTGGCCTGATTATCGAGAACATAAGACAGTCAAGTAGTTAACGAAATACCGAAAAGTTGCAGCTCGAAGTCCAGGGTATCAATAAGTCATCGATGGATATCCAGTCCCTCCATGATATTCTTCTCATCTCGTCATTCATTACGCTGGATCGCCGCAGGTCCTAAATACCAGGATCTTTTATTTATCTGCACCGAAATCATTGTCCTGAAGCTGACTGTCATCTTGCTCATCCCGAGTCCCATTGCTGGGATCATTAAAAGACGAGAAACGAGAACAGAGATGTACATTCCATGGCGTTTCTTATCTATGTGGTTATTTGCTCTTCACCTCCAAACTAATTTAGGCTATTTACTCCAGGAGCTGGGTGCTAACCGTCTATTGCGTCTCTCCGAGTAGTGGCGAAATCGAATCTATCTCGGTCCCTAGTAACATTGTTTGCCAGACATATGACAAGCTTGTTCACATTGGTAAGGGGTAAACTAGGCACTGGTGCTAACATGGCTTAACTATTACTAGTGATCTTGAACCCAATGTATATCACTCTGCGTCCTCTTGTTGTAGGTAGGTAACTAGTTAATTGTAGTTAATCTCCAATGCGGGGATACGCACCAAATTTCTTAGCGCATCCCCAACTCCGGGCTTCCCCTCAGCCTCGGGCCAAAACACCCGCTGCCAACATGGTTCGTTAATATAGTTAAATATCTTCAACTTCATCTTCGTCTTCAGGCCATCGTCTCTAACACTGCGGCTTTGCCTGGATCATGCTTGCGAAGAAACTACTCACAGCCCCTCTCCAGTCTCGGTTTATACACTCTTCCGCCATGGCAAACGCCAGAGCCGCCCGCATCGGTGAGTATCGTGCTGTTGCTCCCGCTGCGTCTCATCCGTACTGACCGGCTACCAGGGAACCCAGCATTATTGTAAGTCTCTTTTATTCGAGCAGTCACTCAATGATGCAATTTACCGCCGAGTGGACCGCTAACTGGCTCTACGTTTAGTATTTGCGACATCCAAGAGAGGTTCAGAACTATCACATATGAATTCCCGAAGCTGTAGGCCCATCCAGTCATCTCCATACCATCATTTTAGCTACGAACTAACGCCTGAAATCCTAGGGTATCAACCTCTCTAAAGCTTCTACGGGCTTCCAAGCCTCTCAATATCCCGATATACGTTACCACGCAAAACACAGCTCGTCTAGGTCCCACCGTCGCCGAGTTTGACGAGTATCTACAGCAATCAAACCCCAACCTGCGCATCAACTGTGACAAGACACTTTTCTCCATGATAACGCCCGAAGTCAAGGAGAAACTGCCTAATGCTACCTCTGAGAAACCACTTGATGCCATCATTGTCGGCCTCGAGTCTCATGTATGCGTTACTCAGACAGCGTTGGACCTGCTATCCTTGGGCCACCGGGTGTATATCATTGCAGACGGAGTTAGCAGTGCCAATGCCGAGGAGAGGCATGTTGCGCTGGCCCGGCTACGGGATGCTGGTGCTATCGTGACAACAAGCGAGAGCATCTTGTTTGAGATCATGGGTGACTCCAAGATTGGGGTGTTTAGGGAGATTAGTGGGCTGGTCAAGGAGACTGGAAAGGAGACCAAGGGTGCTTTGGAAGCATTCTGTTCGGCTAGTAAGATTTAATTGTTATACATATTCCTCTACCAGTATATAGCACGTTTTACTCGCGTAAACAAGAAAATCATCTTCAGCCATTCATTTTCATTAATTACTAATTTTATTTTTATTTTTATCTTTATTAAAAACAAGAAAAAGGAGAGGGAAAAAAATGCCGTACCCAAGTCTATTTATTCATTCCCCTAGTGGCGTTCATAACAATTCATTCAAAAGTGGATAAAATTCACCTTTGCAGCTTTCTTGAGCGTATCAATTGAAGCAGACTTAGACTCAGTAGCTTGGGTTTTCAGGGAGTAGAGCTCGTCCAACAACGCAGGAACAAAACTACCTGGCCCCTTGACGCCACTGACCACAGCTCGCTCGGCAGCAACTTCGAACATAAGTAAGGCGGATAACACAGCAAGAAGCTTATCCTGTCTCTCCACTGCAAGGAATGCTGAAGTGACTGTACCAATAACGCATCCGGTCTAGAAGTTTAAGGCTGGTTAGCTCAGTGGTCGGTTACTCTGGGAAAACGGGTGAAGACTTACGCCGGTAACTTGCCCCAGCAGCGGATGTCCGTTATGAATAGCAATAGTACGGGCACCGTCACTGAGATAGTCAGTAGGACCGGTAAGAAGAACAATGCATCCTGTGAAGAGATTATTAGCTTGTTGACAGAGTAAAACTATTTCAATTTGGGAATGAGGTCAACTTACTTTCTCTGAGAGCCAGGTCTCGAACTAGCATTGCCTTTTCCTTGATATCCAAAGTACTAGGACCACTATCCACTCCAATTTGGTTTCCAGTATGTCCGTAGATGTAGCCTATTTCACTCTCATTTCCCTTGATGAGGTCAAAGTAGCCACCCTGCATTAGAGTCTTGACGGACTGTCTTCGAAGTTGTGTGGCGGCAGCTCCAACAGGGTCAAGAACAACAGGGTTACCTGCCTCGTTGTATGCACGGATAGCCTGCATGTAGTTATCCAAGCTCTCACTGTTCAACGTGCCCATGTTAATGAGCAGAGAGCCTTTGTTCTTAGCCAGGTCAGGCGCTTCAAGACCGTATCCCGACATAATCGGTGAGGCACCACTATCACCTAGTCAAAAACAACCCGAATTATTTTTTCTGCTAGGTGTTACACTTACATCGCAAGAGCAACATTCGCAGCAAAATTAGCCACAACATAGTTAATCATATTATGGCATAGAGGGTGAACAGTAGCTACTTTTCGAACAAGCCCATCGACCTTACCGAGAAGCAATTCCTCTTCATTTTCACGGGGAGAGATCGGTATAGTAGCGAATGCGGGGTTTTTGCTGACTTTATCTAGGAAAAGGGCAGCAGTGGCACGGGGGTTTTCTGCCGCCATAATAGCACTGACAATTGCTACTCCCTCAAGACCCTTTTTAGTGTCTTGGGATTGGTAGATGATTCGTTGGACGTTGTCGAGGTTGATGCCTCCGATGGCCACAGTACCAACTCTGGGGTTCAGGGATGCAACACAGTTGAGGATGCGCTTAACTCCCGCAGTACCAATTATGGATTTTGTGTTGGTTTTACTATCACTATCTTTAGCTTCACTGCATACGGATTGGCAACTTAGATGAATGATACATACGTCGGAGTAGCGTAGACGGTCCCGATGCCAAGGTAGTCGGCACCGCTCTCAACTGCAGCCTGAGCCTCTTCAACTGAAGAAACCGTGACCCCAATAATGGTTCCTTTGGGCAACATCTTTCTTGCAACAGCAATGTCTACCAAATTCATTAGCATAAATACGCAATTGAAACTCGGGGAATACAGGAAAATCCTACTCATATCATCCTGGCCCAAGTGAACCCCCTCTGCCCCAACAGCAAGTGCAACATCGACTCGATCATTGATAATGAGGGGAATACCGTGGTTTAAGGTAATATCATGTAACTTTGCAGCCGTTTTGATCAACTCTTTCGTGTCACTATGCTTGTCCCTGTATTGGACAATAGTAACTCCTATATACGTTGCAAGAAATATGTCAGTATTTGAGCTTTAATAAGAAGATATCAAGCATCCGGCTCGCGCACATACCACCCTGAACAGCCTGCTCAACTACAGAGCAGAGGTCTCTATCTCCAAGGATCTTCGGGGTGGAATCCGTGACCAAATACAAGGAGAGATTCACAGGCATCTTGAGAATGTTTCCAGGCAGTAGTGTGAATCCAGTCAAGTATCGAAATGAGGGATCTAGAGTATGGATATATGCATGGAATGGAGGAGGTGGAGGAAAAATCTGAGAGAAGAAAATATATCCAGATATACGGATGCTCTTCCTAGATTTCTCTGTAGTTCGGTCAAGATGTAGGGAATGTTCAGGAAGAAGGCTTGAATATTTTCACTTCTCTAAATTAATTAGTTAGTGTGGGTGACACGAAAATACAAAACAGAGAAGTTGACGGTAGCAAGAAGAACCTCTCAGTCTGTGATCCGTGCCTGGCCAACAAACAATCTATAGACTAAGATCGGTCAAAGATGTACTTTTCAGGATGTTTTATCGTAACTAGCCAATCATAGCTTGTGAGTAGAGTTTTCACGTGACTCATAACTTAAATCTTTTAAATAGTAACATAACGTCATGGCACTTATTCACAGATATTATTTATTTTATTTTATTTATATTTTTCAATTATTTATTATATCAGGGGGATTTTTGAAGCCAATAGATTAACAATTCTCCTTCTTCTT